CATCACCATCATCATCTTCATCATTCTGGTAACCGTCATCGTCATCATTATCACCGTTGATCATCCTAGGCATCTTCATCACCATGGTAACCATCATCATAATCACCACCACCACCATCATCATCATCATCATCATCATCATCATCATCATCATCATCATCATCATCGTACAAACACAATCATCCCCGTCGTCATCAACATCACCGCCATCGTCAACATCATGATCGTCATCACCATCATCATCAGGCTCAGCAACATCATAACCGGCAGCATCATCACCATCTTCGTCACCATGGTAACCATCATCATCATCAGCAGCAGCAGCAGCATTCACAGCCCCGAACCATCAGGGATAACTCGGGTCAGGGATAACTCGGGCTCGTTTTTCGGGAATCCGAGCCCGAGTTACCCCTGGCCCGAGTTACCCCGGATAACTCGGGCGTCCAGAGCCCCACATCATCAGGGGTAACTCGGTTCAGGGATAACTCGGGTTCGTTTTTCGGGAATCCAAGCCCGAGTTACCCCGGGCCCGAGATGCCCCGGATAACTCGGGCGTCCAAAGCATCATCATCACCGTTGCCGTTTTGGCCCCATCATTTTCTCGGCGACTGCTTTCTTGGCCACCATGGCCCAGCCCACGTTTCACCATACATCGGAGAAGGGAACGCGGCCCAGTCAGATCGGCAGCCTCAGCCCTACAGATTCGTCATGGCGCTTACGTGGCTGCTCTCATCTTGGCGTGCGACGGAGAATCGAAGAACCCCTACTACGAGCGGGTGATCAACCGCGTGTTGGCCGGCAGCTTCCCGTACATCACGCCCATCGGTGACCTCTCGTGGGAGACCCACGATGGGCGCATCTTCTGAGCAGGCTACTGCTTTTCTTTCGCGAAACCTGGAACACAGACTGTGTTTGCCGATCTAAACTTTCCGGTGTGCCATAAGAATGCTGCTACGCATTCTGCCTCGCGACCTTCGTCATGGCTAGCGCCACCTCTTCCAAAGCCAGAGCTTCAGCAATGGATGAAGAAATGGGTGCTGCTGCAGCTGCTACAAAAAAGTGCGACAATGCTCCGTCAATGTTCCCATTCCCCCTCCTCTTTCTTTCCTCCCATTCTCACTCCTCCGTCCATCCCTCCCCCCCTTCCCTCCTCCCTTCTTGCCTCTCTCATCCCCCCCCCTCCTCGTCTCCACTTCCGCCCCCCTGCCCGCCGCCGCCCCCCGGCGACTGGCGGCTCCGGGCGCCGCTTTCTCCGGCCGGTCGCCCCGCCCCTCTCGAGGCCTCCAGAAATCCCCGGAGGTCCCCCGGGGAGTCCCCGAAAAAGACAGCGGCGCGCCCCCCGCACCTCGTCGTCACGTTGGCGCGAGCGCCCCCTTCGAGGCCTGACCCTGAAGAGGCGATGATGTTCGGGAGTGTTTGTGGCGGCATTCGGCCCAGCCCGCCGCCGCGCCTGGGCTGCGGGTCAGAGGCACCGTGTATGTCTGGAGGGTCTCTCGGGAAGCCTCTTGGATGCAATTCTGAAGCCTCTTGAATTTGTTTTTGGTACGAAGCGGGGTAAGGCGCGGCGTACAGGAGCTGCCACGCTGGGTCGTGAGATGTTGCAGCATCTTTGGCCCGGAACTGCAACGCTCTCTGACAGAGCGGCAGTTAGTGAGCTGCTGCGGGAGATGGTTGAAAACACTGACCATTCCGAACGTCGATCTCTGGAGCAAAGAATAATAGCCTGGCGCGATCGGCTCTTTCAGGGCCAAGCTGTGCAAGCGCAGGTTCCCGACGAAACCGTGTGATTCAAGGATGCCAGAGGCAGGAGTAAACGGCGAGAACAGGCAGGAATCCGAGAGAGAGAGAGAGAGGGAGAGGGAGAGAGGGAGAGAGAGAGAGAGAGAAGGATACGAGGGCCATGCATAACTGAAGGCCAAATGTAAAGTCGAAAGACACCTTGAAAACTGCTGCGGTTGGGCCCCGTCCTCTGCTCGCACATGCTGGTCTCCCACGCCACCACTTCCAGACGCAAGCGCTATCTGCACTTCTGCACGGAGCAGAGGCACGAGGCACGCGAGAAACGATGAGGCTGAGTAACCTCGGCGCTTATCGTCTGACAGACATCGGCGGCTCACGGCAGCGCGTCAGGAAAGCTGCCAGGGAAGCCACCGGGAAAGCCGCCGGGAAACCCTTCGGGCACCCCGGGAACGCCAGGGGCGGTGTCGCCGCCGCCTCCGCCCACGTAGCACTCGGGGTGGCCCACCTGGTCGCACTGGTCCGGGCAGCAGTGCCGGCAGTTGTAGCCGTTGATCGTCGGCGGAGGGCTGGTGCACTCTTGGTCTCCAGGGGTACTCGGGGTGGCGGGACTCGTGGTGCCGCCGCCGCCTCCGCCCACGTAGCACTCGGGGTGGCCCACCTGGTCGCACTGGTCCGGGCAGCAGTGCCGGCAGTTGTAGCCGTTGATCGTCGGCGGAGGGCTGGTGCACTCTTGGTCTCCAGGGGTACTCGGGGTGGCGGGACTCGTGGTCGGCCGCCGCCTCCGCCCACGTAGCACTCGGGGTGTCCCACCTGGTCGCACTGGTCCGGGCAGCAGTGCCGGCAGTTGTAGCCGTTGATCGTCGGCGGAGGGCTGCTGCACTCTTGGTCTCCAGGGGTACTCGGGGTGGCGGGACTCGTGGTGCCGCCGCCGCCTCCGCCCACGTAGCACTCGGGGTGTCCCACCTGGTCGCACTGGTCCGGGCAGCAGTGCCGGCAGTTGTAGCCATTGATCGTCGGCGGAGGGCTAGTGCACTCTTGGTCTCCAGGGGTACTCGGAGTGGCGGGACTCGTGGTGCCGCCGCCGCCTCCGCCCACGTAGCACTCGGGGTGGCCCACCTGGTCGCACTGGTCCGGGCAGCAGTGCCGGCAGTTGTAGCCTTTGATCGTCGGCGGAGGACTGGTGCACGTCTGGCCAAGCTGGTGCTGCAGGATCGTTTGATGCGTGCGCTGAAGGAGAGCCTGCTCGTCATCTTTGGCATCGCAATTGTCGTTGTCCTTGCAATCGTCTGTCCGCGCGAGGGCCAGCGCAATCAGCCAGGCGCCTGTCAGGGAGCCTGCTATCGCCCGCATCGCTGCAGCAAGCGATGTTCTCTCAGGAAGAGCTTGGAAGCAGAGCAGCGCAACAGTGGACAGCAGAAACTGAGCCAATCTTGAGCCAAACGTGCTACGGATGCAATGCTGAAGCCTCTTGGGGGCCGTGGGGTGCAGAGGAGAGGGGCGATTGCGCCCCAGCAAAAATGATCACAGCAATGGTGTTCCCTGGAAGCTGTATGAAGCGAGACTGGTCGCTGAACAGGGTCGGCAATAACTCGTTAGGCCCAAGAGGCCCCCAAGATCGCTTCAAGATGGCCCAAGACGCCGCCACGGGGCCTCCAAGACGGCCCGATGGGGCCCCAAGACGGCCCAAGAGGCCCCCTACATAGCCCAAGTGGGCTCCAAAAGGCCACCAGGAAGCCCCAAGAGGCCCCCAAGAGGCCCCGCGAGGCACTCTCCTCCTCCCCCTCCTCCTCCTTTGCCGTTTTAGCTCAACATATATGTTGGTGAGCATTGTATGGAAAGTGCACCTCAGGACGTCGATGGCCCAGCCCGTCGCACCAGACGTCATGTCTGGTCGGCGGAACAGCTGAAGCAAGAGTTCCCATGGGTTACATGTAATTTCGCAGAAGGGCGCTATGTGTTGAAGTGTAGCAACTGCGATAAGCAGATGTCTTGCAAACATGGCAATGTGACGCGTCATGGGGAGAGTGCCTTTCATCTCGCCAAATGTGCTGGGCACGACATTTCAGCGCCAAACGCAAATGGTTTTCAAGACATTGTTGAAACACGTCCAAATTCATCATGCAGCCGCAAGCGACCGCGGCTTGGAGAGCATTGCCTGAGGCAATAAAAAACGCCGGGGCAACGGGAGGAGGAGGAGGGGGAGGAGGGGGAGGAGGAGGAGGAGGAGGAGGAGGAGGAGGAAAAGGAGGAGGAGGAGGAGGAAAAGGAGGAGGAGGAGGAGGAAAAGGAGCAGTCTGGCCAGTGCGGGGCACCAGCGGGGCGCCCGCAATGCAGACGGAATGAAACAACGAATATATCACACATTGAGATTGAGGCCTTCGGCCCAACCCGCCACCGTGAGATGTGTGTTGGGATCTTGGGAAACCTCTTGGGGGCCTCTTAGGTGCCTGCGTGGGGGTCTGCAACTGCTCTCGACGGAATTGCCGAAATCCGCTGCAAGGTTTTTAGGGCGCTTTGGGGGGCGCTGTCGGGGAGCTCTTGGGGCCTCTCAGGCGGCGTCTTGGGCCTCTCTTGGGCGGCCAGGGGTCTGCAACGGCTTTCGACGGAATTGTCGAAATCCGTTGCTAGGTTTTGGGACGCTGTTGGGGCGCTGCCGGGGAGCTTTTTTTGGTTTTGTTTGTTGCTGATTTTTTTCTAATACATACACACACATATATATAAATACATATATATATATATGTATTTATATATGTATATATATATATATATATACATAAATATACATATTTGTTGAATGGGCCACTTCCCCGCTGTCGGGGAGCTTTGGGGGCCTCTCAGGCGGTGCACTGCGCCTCCCCAGAGGTCCGCGGGGCGCCTCGAAAGCCACGCGGCGGGGGGCAGATCATCCGAGACTTGGGACTCGGGCCCTTGGGAAATAAAGCACCTCTTGGCGGTGGCGGATTTCATCGCCCATGCGAACGATGAGCCTCATGCGAGACGTTCGGAAAAAAGAAGATGGCACTGAGGTTTCCGGCAGTAGACGACAAGTTGCGGAGCCGGTCTGGACTGATGGCTTGGCGTCCCATCAAGACCAGCAGCGGAGCGGGCATGCTAAGCTTGACCACTCGTGCGATCCGCCGGTTCCCCCCGGTTCCGCCAGGGGGGGGTCATCCGCTCCAAAAAAGTTGGCGGGGGTTCCTCCGGTGGCCCCGAAATGGCCCCGAGACGCACCACGACGGCTCAAGAGGACCTCCATGTGGACTTCGGTGAAAGCAGGCCGGGGACGGAAGCGGATTCGCCATGATTCTCTTCAACGCTGACACTTGGTGCGAAGCTGCATCGCAACCCAGGTCCCGCAACCCCCCTGTACCAGACAAACTGTACGAGCGAGCAGTGGCCGCGATCATGATGGGCCGCTTCCGAGGCGAGGACGCTTCGAACGCCACCCTCAACGAAGGCGATTTGGCTCCAGGCCAGGCCTCGTGAAGCGCCTGATCAAGCCTTGGGTCAAAGGCCTGGCGAAGACGACGAAGCCAGAGGGAGAGGACGCTGAGGATGACCCAGATGACGATGCAGATCCAGGCGACGTCGAGGTCAAGAAGAAGGGCTAATTACTGTGAACGAAAAGTCGACTGTTTCACGCTGGAGTCTTCGGCGAAGGCGAGGAAGGTCAAAGTGAGGGGCACGGCGCTGCTGTGCAAGACGTTTCGAGCCCACCTTGTATCGAAGACTCCGATTTGCCTCCCGGAGCGCGCGTGCGACATCCACCAGGGCCAGACCAATCGTGGCACTATTTTGGGGCCCGCGGTGCTCGACAACCCCGACAACGAGTGGGTCGACAACGTGCTGAACAAGCAGAAGATCTATGGCTCTTGGCGCATCACAGTGGGAGGACTATGCCCCAACGGAGGTAAGGAGAAGCGCCCTGATGCATCGGTAGAGCGCGTGTTCTTCAACTCGCTCCCGTCGACGTTCTTCGAGGCCCACTTCAAGCGTGTCTACGTCAAGGTCGTCTACGATATGACCCCTGAATGCGGCGGGGTGGCCTTCGCTTGCGCCAAACTCAGGATTGGATGCTACGGTCTGTGCATGACAACCGAGCATGCGGAGCAGATCCGCTCCATGACGCGGACTTCCGTGCTTGCCGAGATGAAGACCACTGGCAGCCCGATCTACAGCACCGCGATCGCCACCATCATGAAGTCCACTGGGAATGATCCTGAGGCTGAGCCTAAGAAGAGGTCGAGGCCTTGCAAGAAGGAGGGCGAAGATGGCAATCCCGAGGGGGGATAGAAGACTAAGCAGCTTGGGGCGGACGACTCCGCCGGCAAAGAAGGACACGAAGGCTAAGGCCAAGAAGCCCAAGAAGACGATTGACCAAGACGGCGAGGGTGGAGACGGGTCGATGTCCTCGCTCTCGGACGGCAGCGCGCGGGATGACAAGGAGGATCCTGGCTCAGATGGTGACGGCTTTCGCTGAGGGCTGCGCCAGAGCTTGCGAGCGCTGGTGGTCCCCAAAGGTGGTGGTGAGAACACCCGGTGGTGAGTCTTGGGCGATTTGGGTGATGGTTTTCGAGCGCTGGCTGGCCCAGGAGAACGCAAGACCTCGTGGCGACCGCGTGTCCCCAAACCCGGTGGCGACCCAGAATTATTTTTGGGGGGATCGGGGTCACCACCAGGTGTCTCACCACCTGGTTTGGAGACCACCAAGAGTTTCAACTTCAATGAATGATTCCGGTGGAATCGACGCTCACGCGCCCTCCCTGCCGACCCGTCGCCGGGGTCGACAGGTCCCCAGGGGTTTACAGGGGGGGGGGCGTGCGCAGCCAATCTTACACCTCTTGGGCGCGCGATTGGATACTCCAGATTTCGTAACAAAAGGGAGGGGGTCTGGACCCTCCAAGACAAGCCATTTCAGACCCCCCCCGTGGGAGAACCCTCCAAAACATCGTCCCCAGACCCCCCCAGGCCCTCCAGGATAGCCTGGAAGAGACCCCCCCCGAAATGAGACCCCCCTCCCTTTATTACGAAATCTGGAGTAGATCGGTGCTGCTCGAAGCAAGCTAAATCATGAGCTCACCACGCAATCGACTTGCGTGATGGACGTCTCGGCGGTTTCTAGTATCAAGTGGCCTGCGGTCCATTCCGCCACTGTGCCTGGATCAGAAGCTTCTTGGGGTCTGTCGGGGAACCTCTCTGGATCATCTGGGGGACACTCGGGGGCACCCTTGCGGCCTCTCGGGGGTGGGGCTCGGGGGCTCCCGGGGAACTCACTCTGGGGGGCTGCTGGCGGTTTCTGGGGCGAGGGGAGGGCTTGGACTGACAATTCGCGTTCCAGGGCTCTTGGGCTCCTCTTGGGGCTCTTGCGGCCCTCTTTGGACTCTTGGGGGCCCCTGGCCCGTCTTAACTCGGCGATATGTCCTTCTTTGGGGCCTCTTGGGCCGTCTTGAGTCCGTCTGGGGCGTCTTGGAACGCTCTTGGCCGGTATCAAGGCCCTCTTGGATAGTCTAGGAGGACTCATTGGACCCTCTTGGCCCGAGGCCTCCTGAGGAAATCCACCCCTTGGGCCTCAAAGGGACCTGAGGACTCTCCAACTCGTACCTCGAAGCACGGTGGCGGATCATAGAAAAAGCGTATGATGTGAAACGTGTTGTCTTCGATCGATTCAGATATCATCAACAACTGCTGATCTCATGTATAGGTTGTCCGATCGAATCTAACACGTGAAAGTGCTGAGCCTGCCAAGTTTACCGTCGATCCTTCCCTCTCCCTCTTCCGCCTCACACAACACCTCCATTTATCATCCTCCTCCTCTTCTTCTTCCACCTCCTCCTCCTCATCATGATCATCATTATCATCATCATCATCATCATCATCATCATCATCATCATCATCATCATCATCATCATCATCATCAACATCATCATCATCGTCATCATCATCATCATCATCATCATCATCATCATCATCACCATCATCATCATCATCATCCTCATCCTCATCATCATCATCATTCTTATCCGCGTCCTTCTCCCCTGCCCCCTCCACCAAGCGGGGGGATATGGGGTGGCCACCCCGGCAGAGCCGTTCGAGGGCCAGGGCCGCCAAACCCGGCGCCCCCGCCATGGGCGGGCTTGGGCGGCAGGGGGCCGCCGTCGCCGTCGTCGCCGCCGTCGTGGCCGCCGTCGTCGTGCCGTCGCTGCCGTCGTCGCCATCATCGTCGCCGTCGCCGTCGCCGTCGTCGCCGCCGTCGCCGTCGTCGTCGCCGCCATCGTGGTCCTCGTCGCTCGTCAAATGCTTTCGGATGTGTTCGGTGGCTGTATGTGATTTCCGGAGGTTTTCGGAAATCCCCGGTGCTATCAGAGGCTCCCGGGGATTCCGCCGGGCGCGCGCAATCCCGCCTGCTCCGGCGCCTCCCGAGGGGGAAGGGGGAAGCAGGGGGGAGCAGGAGGATGATAAGGGGGATGGGGAGGAGTCCGCCCGGCCACCGCGACCATCTTACATTAGACCCACACGTGTCACCCGAACCTCCAATGTCAAAGAAGCCAAGAGGGGGGAGGGGGAAGAAAAGGAGGAGGAGGATCATTTAAATGTGCGCACAGTTGATCCCATCGGTGGATTACATTTATAACCCAAACAGGTAAGCTGGCCTTCGAAAAACGTGGTTAGTGATGTGGGAATGCTAAGACGGCCGCGCGTGCGTCCCCACCAATGAATCAGCTCCCCCAGGTCCGCCCAAAACCAACGCAGGCGGGCGCGGGCGCGGCGGGCGCGGGCGCGGGCGCGTGCGCCGCGTGCGCGCGCGCGCGTGTGCGTGTGGGCGTGCGTGCGCGTGCGCGTGCGCGCGCGCGTGCGCGCGTACGTGCGCGGAAGGGGGGGGGGGGGGGGGGGAGTGGAGGATGAGGTGAGGAGGAGGAAGAGGCGGAGGAGGAGAAGGAGGAGTATGATGAGTGAGGACGAGGAGAGGGAGAGGGGGGGTGGGAGGAGGCAGGAGGAAACAGGAGGAGGAGGAAAAGGAGTAGGAGGAGGAGGGGGAGGAGAAGTAGAAGAGGTAGTAGGGGGAAGAGGAGGAGGAGGAGGAGGAGAG